ATTTTTTAATTACAACAATTATATCATATATCCAATTATATTGCGATGGAGACATTACCTCCTCTCACGTGACTTTCCCCCATTTATTTTAAGTTACCCCCCACTAAACTCACCGCATGCTTTAGGTGGTCTGTTTTAAGTCAATGGGGACAGAGGAGGCACGTCTTCTGCTGTAACTTAATCTGAGAGTGATGCTGTTGGACAGTGTTGCTTTATAAAAACGAGTGACTTTTACACAAAAAAGACCTTCCTCGGGAAAAACGCCCTCAACAACAATGTGAAACATTCATGCGTATTACATATGCTTTATAATTCTTGGTTGTGGCAAGTAAGTTTAAGTAGGCTACTGAGTTACCACAGTTATAGTTGTCATGATAACTTTGTTTTGTGTAAATGAATTTGTCGCACTCTCCTTCTTATTGACTATGCTTTTCGATATAGAATCATAAATTGTGTCGTGTTTTATTTCAATAAAGTTTTTATTCAGGATTATAGCGAATGCATAGATCAAAAAAAAATAACAAAACAAAATTCTTTATGTGCTTTCTTCTATATCCGGGAATCCCCGTATTAAACCCTTAAATGCTGAAGCATTCTGGTTCATAGTCTGACTGCGGAGCTACACTATAAATACTCTACAATAAATAAATACAATCTGTAACAGACAAAGCAATACATTCTCATCCCAAGACGTCATCTAACTGACTCTTTTGACCATACGTCAACATCCAACATTTTAGGGTACCCTTTAACGTCAGTTAGATGACGATCCTAGGGCATCATCCAACTTTGACGCTTTACCTTGACGCGGGTAGGTTTAGGTCTGGGGTAGGGTTAGGATTGGATAGCGTCATCTAACTGACGTTAAAGGGTACCCTAAAACTTCGGATGTTGACGTATGGTCAAAAGTGTCAGTTATATGACGTCTTGGGATGAGAACGGGCTGGACAAAGCAATAGTGACACATGGTAAAAACATTGTTACTCACACTTGTGTGTTGCGACATTGCTGTCGAATCCATGTAGTTGGCACTGCATCATCTTTTATTTTTAGTCTCTTGGACATGCTTGCACCAAACAGTGTCTTGTTTAAAAATGAATTCGCAGGAAAATTAAGCCAACAAACGAACAGTGTTTTACTGACGAGATCTAGAAAATAAGGTTCGTTTCATCTTGTAATCCTCAGAGGCATCTCTATTTTTTTTGTTGCTGAAGTAATCCTGTGTTTGTGTCTCTCTTGTATTTACGACTATATGACGTGTGAATCGATGGGCGGGGCTAAAGAGGCAACAATGTCTTTTGCCACACTATTACATCATAATGTAACAAAATTTAAAACTACTTTTTTGGTCAGCTTGGTGTCATTGAAAGCTGTTTTTGGACTAATTAGGAAGCTTTGAGTTATGAAACTTACAGGATATTTTAATAATAACCTACAACTTACTGTACATGTCAAAAGGTCAAGGGCAATTTGATTTCTCAATTCATGGCTCCTTTAATAGGGACATATTGGCATGTAGGGACATATTGTCATCCCACTATCACTACATGAAATCATAATTGACACTATTTACTTTCTTGATGTCTTATCCTGGTACCTCTTATTGTGAACAAAATGTGAACCAAATGAAAACATTTTAATATTTCATCAATATGTTTAAAACATGCACTTCCGACTTTCTTTCTTTAATTTTTTTCCTATGTCGCTTTTTATCTGTATTGGCTAATGAAGCCAATTGGCTGTATAAACATTGTTTCAGCAAACTTACATCCAGTCCCGTCTTGCTTTATCTCCTAATGTTTTATCTCATAAACAATATCTTGTTTCAATCTGAAATATGCATGTTCTGGAAATTTAATAGGTTGCAAATGGGGGTTCACTTTGAATTTCTGAGCTACTTTGCTCAATTGCTTGTTATTGTTTTCTTGCTTAAAATATCTGATGATATGTCAAATCACTCTTACACCTGTACATGTGTGTTATTGTCTGTTTCTATGTGTGTGTGTGTGAAGCTAATGGAAAACAAAGGTTTACATTATATGCGGCTGACGACATCAGGTCTCCATGACAGCTTATGGTAAGTATCATATAACATGGGCCAGCTCTCTCTCGCTCTTTCTATCTCACTTCCTCTATTTCCCTTCCTCTCACTGTGCAACTTGCTACAGTTGTGTATCTCTGATTATTGTGATTTCAGGTGCCAAAGACCTAGAAATTGGACGCATGGTGTGTGTTTGTGAAACATGGAGAGGAAAATAGAATAAAAATAAGGAGATAGAGGGAAAATGTAAATGTGTTTGAGAGCTTGATGGAATCACATTTGCTGACTGTTGCCCTCTAGAGTGTCTCATTGGTGCCATAATGACGCCACTCAGTCGAAAGTGTGTAGTGCAGCTCACACTGACCTGTGTTTGTAATGATTGCGGATGAACTGAACTGTCAGACTGATATATGTTCATGGGAAACTGTTTTAAATATAGAGTTAAAGGGATAGTTCACCTCAAAAATGAAAATTTATTCACTTTATTATTGTTCCAAACCCATATAAATGTATTCCTTTTTCTTTCTGGAACAAAAAAGTAGAGACTGTGGGGGAATAGTGTCTTACCTGCAGTTAATAAATGGTGACTGGATTTTCAAGCTTCAAAAAATGATGAAAAAAGCAACATAAAACATCATAAACGTTATTAATACAATGCTTGCACTATTTCATGCCATCTGAAGTCATACAATATCTTTTTGTGACCAACCACGATTTGAATTTTTATTCACTGACGTCCCACCAGTGAGCTGTTAACCACTGCGACCGGATCATTGAATCTGAGAACCGTATCAGTCCAATTTGTGGACAAATCATTTACAGTAGGTTGGTTTTGTGAACTGGTTCAACTGAGTCATTAAAAATATCTGACTCAAGAATGATTCGTTTATGAATCAGACATTGTTCATTTCTTATGAACTCTGATGAAAGATGTTCAGTGGATAATGACTCAGTTCTTCACACAATCTTATCATAAGGCTTCAGAAAACTTAAAAAACGAATATATATATATATATATATATACAGTATATATATATACATATATATATATATTTTTTTTTTTTAATCAGTTGTTTTGAGTTCCTAAGTTGACATAAGGGTTAATTAAATTTTTTGGTAAACTATCCCTGTAATAATTTACCTCATTACACTCCTAAGTTGAACTAAAGTTGCACTGCAGTTTACTGGAACTCATCCAGAACTAATTAAAACATTCCAACGTAACAAAACACACATCTGATAGTGTACATCCCTGAATTCACAAGAGAAAGAGAGACTTTTACCTCTGTCCAGTCTCCACCCATAATAGCCTGCCATCCAGGAGGGAGTGGCTGACCGAGGGAGGGGAAAGAGAGAAAGAGAGAGAGAGAGAGGGAGAGGGGGAAAGCTGGAGAGCTCTGCGGTAGCAGTCAGCGCAAAAACCAAAGCAGAGAAAGACTGAAAGAGAGAGAGAGAGAAGGTAGATTGAGAAAGAAACTGTGGAATTAGCCTCTAAGAAATAAAATTAAGGAGAAAAGGGAAAGAAGGAAGTCTGGAAAATAACTTCAGACCAGGACAGAGAGAGAGAGAGAGAGAGGCAAAAAAAGACAGACACATGAATTAAAATAAGTCTTGGACTTCACATTGGAGACACATGTTCATGCGTGGACTGTTTCTCTGCTGCTGTGATCTGTCATTCCTCCTCACAGCGTGTGTGTCTGTTCTTGAGAGGCTGAGGAGTGTGTGTGTGTGTGAGCCTGTCGTTCCTCTGGAGTCTACGGGACCATGGCACCTGTCAGGAATGGATGAACTTGAGGCTTAAAAAACTTGTGGAAGAAAGAGATAAAAACAGAAAGAAAGCTGAAAGAGTAATAGGTAAGTTTCTTTTCTAGCTATGCTGTGTGTGCATGTAGGAGTGTGTGTGGAAGGTTCTGCCTCTTTTATTTGTGATTATCTGAGATGTATCTACGTTAACCTGTATTTAATTATGTTTGATATTTGTAATACTTTCGATAAAGGCCGTACACACAGTTTAAAAAGTGAGAATATGTGTGTATATTGGGTATAGGGAGCCCTCCAATGCGACAAGCTGTTCGACCTCTTTGTGCATGTGCATGAATGATGCCTTGGTGTTGTAGTTTTAGATATGAATACTGTTGTAAATTATAGGTGGATGCGTTGTTACGGTATTGTGTGTCTCTCTCTCTGTGTATGTGTGTGGACTCTAACTGGACTGTGTTTTCTTAATATAGGGTGATATTAAAAGACGAAATGGTCTGTGAATAAGCAAGGGAGATAGAGACAGATAAAGAATGGAAGAGTGATAGGGAAAGACAAGTTTGTTCTGTAAGTGTGTTTCTGCTGAAATATTTACCCTGGTGCAACTGTGACGGGTCCTGTGGTGCTCATGGGATGATGTTCTTTGGTTCACACAAAGAGCAAAAGACTGTTATCATCACTTCATCATTAACTTTTTATGATTTTATATTTTCAACCCCAAAACATCAGAGATTAATGGAAAGATGACAAGATAAGAGTGTACATTCACGCACAAACATTTTTTTTTTGAGTGGAAATGTTCCACAGACTATATATATAGTTTATTTTAAAATATATTATAACGCTTATTAACTTAATAATTAAACAAAATAATTATTAACTTATTAATATTATTTATTCGTTCTTCTTAAAAATGTGTATATTACACGTTGTATAATAATTTTAAATATTTTATAATTTTTTTGTATTTTGGTGTGTGTGTGTATACAATCAAATCAATCAATCAATCAATCATTTTTTTAAACTACGAACATCCTGGCTTCTTGTTTGTGTCAGATATTGGCCCCAAACTATAGCAAAGTATGTATACAAACTAAAACACACAATCCATACCATGCACTACCCAAAACAGTAATTAGACACACAAACACTCACATACCTACCCTCTCTCTCTCTCACACACACACACACACACACTCTCATTCACATACATTCACACACCGTGTGCTGTGTTTTTGGTCAGCTGTGTTTTGGGTGAGGGGAAGAATGTCGTGTTGTTTTAGTGGCGACTCTAAGAGAACATTGTGTGTGCATGTGCTTGATGAAATTACACGCAACAATTCGTGCAGCACACAACCGAACGGTCCCTGACTTTCTTTCAATGTGCATCACCAAATGACTTTCTTCATTTTTCTCTGGCTCCTTGATTCTTGCTCTTAGGATTGGGGGGTGGGTAGAGAGACAGAGAGAGTAAGTAAGAGAGATTGAGAGTGAGATGGCTTTTAGCCCGGTGCCTCAGCCGGTGTGGATCGTTAATTGAGCTGCTCCCATAGGGGGGTATCAGACCCCAGATTAATTTGGCTCCCCCTCCTCACACAAGCTCACACACACTCATGCTTTCACCCGCACACAAACTCACACTCTCTTTTAGGGCCCTTTATATCCATCTATTAGACCACAGTTGTCAGATGTCGTGGAGATTGTATTCTGATTGGAGATTGCGGGTGGGTGTGGGCGAGTGTCTCTATGGTGGGGTTATCGATTGTTTTGTGGAGTGTAGTACTATTTAACTGTGGTGGGACCTGTAGGCCTAGACACATTAGGTTGTATTGTAACAAAGAAATCATTCTGTACATATACTTCTCTTATATATATATATATATATATATATACTTAATATATACTTAATATATAAGTAAGTGTGTGTGTGTGTGTGTGTGTGTGTATATGAAGAGTTCAGATGCAAAAACCTCTAAATGCCATTTGAAATTTTCTTCTTTAATGATGAGTTTAATCAAACTTGTATATTTATGTTCCGTAATTTCACTTAAATAACAATTAATAGGTATTTATCATTGCCATTTAAGTGAAATTACTGAACTTAAATATATAAGTTGGATAAAAATGATCATTAAAGAAGAAAATTTCAAATGGCATTTAGAGGCTTTTGCATCTGAACTCTTCATATATATATATATATATATATATATATATATATATATATATATGAGTATATATACTTCAACATTTCATCAGCTTGGTTCTTATCAATTAATCAGTTGAATCAGTTCACTGAATGATTCATTACCGAATCAGTCGAAATCAAAATGATTTTTTAAAAAGTATTCACTAATCACACACACCTGAAATGGTCATGGAAAAGTGATATGTCAATTGTGTTTGCACAGACTTTGGAATATTTGGGGTAGATAAAGCAACCTCAGAAATTCATTTTAAACTTCCTTTAAATATGTTGTTACATAATCAATTCTCCATTGTTGCTTTATTATGAAAGTTACAGGCAGATGAAGACACATTCAATACTCTGTGGTATTTTGAATTTTTTTTTGTGTGTTTGAGAAAACTCGATTAGGGCCTAAAGCAATGTCTTTTGAACAGCAGTGTGACTCAGTGGTTGCATCCGAATTTGAATGCTTTCCTAAAGGTGAATATCAGGATGTGATAAAAGTATGTGAACAAGTAGACAAGTGAACCATCGTCTGAAGTGTTAATCCCATGAGGCCACGGGAGATGATTTTTGAATGTCACTGGTAGGTCACATGATAATGATAACATGGCGAATGTAGTACGTACAAATTACATTCATACGACACAAACTTTTTAGCGCACGCTAAGTAAGTACTTGAGACTATGCAATTTCGGATGCAGCCAGTGACTCAATATATCAATTTGAGATCTGTCCGAATGAAGATGTAACGGTATAGATCTTCAAATCATACCTCCCATGTTCAGATACTGTAGAATTAAGCTATTAGGATGAACAGCTGTGTCTTGTGGCCCAAAACTATAAAAGCGAGCATGTAACGTGGCATAAGGTGTAGTGTACGGATAGAGGAGCGATTTAATGTCTCATGTTTTTGAGATGTGCGGGATTATGTGGAAAAACATAATTTGGGATATAAAGGTCACTCTTGGCTCTTTATAGGCTTGGTGAGCTTGAAGATTTCAGATTCTGATATGCCATTCTGACATCCGAAAGTTATTCCACTACAACATCAAGTTGACTTTTCTGATTTTATGTTATTTGCCATTTGAATTTATTAAACTACAAAGTCAGTTGATAAATAGGTCTATGAAAATAATGCTACGATGCTTACATTTATTTTTTTGCATTTAAAATGATTGGTTTTAGTTTTTAGTGTCTTTAACTTTTTTTTTTTTTACAAAATAGTACAGAATTTTAATATTGTCAATTTATCTCTTATTGCCTATTAACTCTTCCCATCCATGTTTTTACTGTGGGGGGCACTATTACGGATTTTCTGAAAGAGTACAGAATCTCTGGATCAAAACACAAGCGAAGAAGCTGAAACAAGCGATAGACGCATTGCACGTAAGCTAACGCAATCATTCAACATGAAATGGCAAACAAACCAAAACTGCCTAACAAACCCATGAGGAGGAATAGGGCTGTGAAGCTTTGCTGGCTTTGATGAATGTGATTTATTTCTTCTGAATCCGATTTGGACAAAGTCTTAGACAAAATAGTGAATTTCTCCACTTTTTGTTCAGAATGTTGCTTTTTGTAATTACCAAGTTGATTAAAAAAAAAAGAAATGCACAAAGCTTACATAATTAGTTTTTTAAAGCAGAGGCTCTGTTCTCTCTTTTGATATATTGTGTGTTCAGACATATTTTCTGTAGTCATACATAACACCACCCTGTGTGTAATGACACTTAATTACAAGAGGTTTTGTAATCTTTTACAATCTCTTTAAGTCTAAACGAAACTTTCATTGTAGCTTGAGCAAGACCAAAGTGCTGGTTTGGTATGAAGCTTGCCGAAAGTTAATAATTTAACAATAACAGTGCTGTCTATAAAACGTTTTGTCTCTTCCTGTTTTGATTATTCAGATATGGAGTTTTACGTTGAGTGTCTTTCTTGAGAACGTCTGCCGAGAGTTTTTAGACTAGAGGATATTAAGATATTATTAGGATATTAAGCGAGAGAAGAACAGGACCGAGTCAACAAGTGCAGAATCGTTGAACAGGTCAGTTTACTGAAGGTGGGACAGCATACTGGTGGGAGAGGAGAAGATGAAAAGATAAGAAAGAATGATAGATCAGGAAGGATTAGAGAGCAGTGCAGATTTTTGTAATGATACTGTAGCATTTGCACATCATGTATGTTTGTGTGTTCACGCAGTGGTGTGTATGCAAGAGTTGTTTTATGACGTAAGTGTGTGTGCATGTGCTGATTAAGGTCATTGTGATGGTCTTTTGTGCTGCTGTTGCTACATTTCACTTCTCACTTACACACACTTTCACTATACAGAGTACACACACATACACAGTTTCACTAGACAGAAACTACCATTCAAAGTGTTAGGAGCAGTTCGATTTTTTTTTTTCTCTCTATTTCACTGACCAAGGCTGCATGTATTTGATCAATTTCAATATTTTAATAATTTAAAATAACTTTTAAAAATTGTTTTATTCAGCTTGTTAAAGCTTAATTTTCAGCCATTAACTTCAGTTGTTCAATGTCACAGGATCCTTCAGAAATCATTCTAATATGCACAAGAAACATTTCTTATTATAATGTTGAAAAACAGTTGGAAATCATCACATTTTTTTCAGATTTTTTTGATAAATAGAAAGTTCAAAAGAACAGCATTTGTTTGAAAAATGGATATATTTTTAACATTATAAAAGCTTTTTCTGTCACATTTTATTTACATTTTTTACATTTTCACATTTTAAACACATTTTATATTTTAAGTTCAATGATTCTTTGCTGAATAAAAATGCAAAATGCTTTCAAAGAAAAAAAAAAAAAAAACATCTTACTGACCCGAAACCTTTAAACAGATTTCTAATTGGAAGTGATGATATTTTCTAAACCTCAAGTCTGA